CATCGCACATCGCCCTTCCCTTCCGGCCCGGCCGTCTCCTGGGAAACGCTTCCTTCCGCCCCGCCCGCAGCCAATCGAAGAGCGGAGGCTGCTGCGGAGGGCCCGCCCACACCCAGAAGGCCTAATGGGAGAGCGCAGGCGGGGCCGGGCGGGAAGGCGGTGCCCGGCGCCATGGAGGGTCGTGAAGTTTGAGGGGGCGGATGGCACCGGCGTCCTAAGCTGAGTTTAGTGTTCAGGCATCAAAAGGCTGTCCTAGGAAAAAAATAAAAAGAAAACATAGATAACGTGCTTTGTTATGATGCACGCAGCCCGCCCCCCACCGTTATTAAAATGTGTTTTCCCTTCACAAAGCAGGGCCCTGGGGGCTAGAGGACAGCACTCTAAGCCAGAGCCTGAGGCACACAAGCCCACCTAACCCCGGGCATAATTTGTGTCACCCCGGCAGGTGGCTGTGCTCGAATGTTTCACCCAAGTGCAGACACCCACCTGGTGCTGGACTTGCCTTTCTGCCTCAGAGTCAACTTCTTGTTCAAGGGGCAGCTCCTGCTTCTGCAGTCTGCTTGTATCACCCTCCAGCATCAAAATGTTTGTAACCCCAGCTCTCAACAGCAATGAAGTAATTAACAACAAATAGCCTTCAAGACGTTTTTATTGTTGGAACGGACAACTTCACTACAATTCATTTCCCCTTCTCAGGGCCTATGGAGCCATTGTGTCCCCTCCCCGGCCTCAGAGCCTTTTGGGTGTGCAGGGACCAGTCATGGAGGATTGAGCTTTACAAAGATGTCCCCATCATGGATTTCAGCAGAAAGCCAGTCGAATTGTACAGTCTTTGTGAAATGAACAGGACAGTTCTCTGCAACACAGCTCCCTCCTCCTCTGGCACCGTTGGCTTCCTCTGCGCAACACCAGCTGCATGGAAGACAGTCTGGGGCAAAATTTTCCAAAGCATTCATATCTTCTCAACAAAGAACACAGACACTTAGTCCCACATCCACAAAGGCAGCGAGGCTCTTAGGTCACCTTCATTTCAAGAGGACACCAGACACCTAGAAGCCTTTGTGGACCTGGGCCTTAAGAGCTTAAATCTCATACAGCAGCTGATACAAATCAGGCACTTCTGAAAATTTTACCTCAGTTAATCCTGGCCAGGGAAACCAAAGCCCTGAAGTTACTAGAATCTATTAAGGCAGAGTTCAAAATGGTTCTGTCCCACCTATTCCCTAAAGTATGGTTTGTATCTTTGCACCTTAAGGATAAAAACCTATCATTGCATTTGGAAGCATTTAAAACTTCATTTCAAGTGATTCTGAAATTCTAAAATCCTTGTGGCAGCAGCGATGGCGTTCATATGTTTGCTTGTTCAGCACTGAGCATGAAGGGACTCAGCCCTGACTGGCAACATGGATTACAGCAAAACATTCTAAGTACAGTCAGTGAGGGAACGAGGTCCTTGTGGCACAGATTTTCCAGTCTGACTTTAATCAAAACAGGCATCCAAGGGGGAAGAGAATTCACATTTCAGCAAAAAGACTCACCAGCACTGCGGTTTTGGATTCAGTCTATATTTGGAAAAAGGGCAACAAGAAAATGATGGACAGAACTTTCCTAATTCACACATTGTACACCAGAGGTTCAATGCAGACACTTTTTTCCTTTTTTTTTTTTTAAAAAAAAAAACAACAAAACTCTGGACAAAATTCAGCACCCTTGAGTTAGCAAAGGCAGAAGGTGAAAGGAGTTGCCAGGGAGCTTGATTCTGGGACCTGCGTGCGGAGCTCTCAGCTCCTATTTAGGTCAGTAGGAAGCAAGAGTGCCCAGCAGGAAGCAGCTGCCTCAGCTCTGCTTTGTTAATACTTGACAGTACGATAAAGATAATAAACAATTTTAAAAATTAAGATACATTGCAGCACAAGGATTCGCTACAACAGCCTCTGCTGTTGAATCACTGCCAAGAAGTGGGATGATTTTGGTGTAAATTGTGTGTGAATTAGTAATGTTCTACTATATAGCCAGATAATTTAAAGAAACCTGTACAAATCTTGGAAGAGACCGAGTCATATCTTCAGTTGGTGCAAAATAAGTGTAACTCCACTGATTGTTGTGCTACTTCATCGACACCAGCTGTGAACCCTTATTCCTTGTAGAAACCTAGGAAAACAGTCAAAAGCTGCCTGCTGAAATGCATCCTTAACATACAAATGTCACAAATGCATAATTAAAGTGGAGCAGAGATTCCCACTGTATGATCTCTACCAAAAATATGAAGTGTGGCCCCAAACCTGCTCAGAGCAGGACTGACACATGCCAAGCAAGGTGCGTTTTTAAAGAGTTACAGAATAAGACTGAACTTGCTATCCAAATAATGTTTCTTTTTAAATAAACTGGCCCAAAATCTCCTCCAATCTTTTAAGATAGCTCAGTATTTCCAAAGTGAACATAGCTTTCAAAACCAACACTGATTAAAAAAGATGTTTGGCGATACCTTAAAAAATACCCAGAATATCAAATTAATTCCAGTCCAGCATTGTAATTAGTTAAGAATACCTCCTGAAAATTATATCCTCACAAAAAAAGTGGGTGCTGAAGTTAAAAGCATCAGAAACATTACATACTCGAAAATACCACCAATCTTTTAACATTTAAAACCAAATCAGAACATTCTTTGGAATCACCAAGTTATTAACACGTGAGTTTCTCTACAGTCTCCACATTATCTTTTCAAATCTGTCCATGTACAGATTAAGTCTTTGAGCAGTTTAATATCCACTGTCGGAAAATACAGAGTCTCTGACCAGCAGGAGGCTACATTAAACAGGAAAACATTGGCATTCTCTTTTCAGTACTGACTTCTGCCAAAAATAGAGACTTTCAAGCACAAGACAGCACAGCCCTGTTTTAGGAGATACTTCTTTTCTCTTCTTTTCTAAAATGCATTGTATGTGTACTTCCAGTGCAAATTTTTTCAGCACTTGCGACAGGCAAGAAGGAAAGGGGGAAGAAGAGAGACACTCTCCTATGGTCTTGCTTGGAAGAACCAATAGCCATAAGCACGCTGACCTACCAGCTCTCCTTACTGTTGAAACCAGCTCCTATTGCTGGCAACTTGAAATAGCTTATTAAAGATTTCATTTTAAGATAAACAGATGACAGTTTAGCATGAAATCTGGCCGTGGCTATGGTTCTGTGTGCGTAAAGATTGGTTAGAGATGCTTTCCCCTTTCAGTATTGGTTGGAGTTCATTAAAAACAAGTCTGTGGTATTTCTCCACGTGTCATGAAATGTGAGAGATCTGTCTGACTCGGGTTTGTATTTCCTGTCGACACAAAGGGCAGGTCTCCAGTTGCAAGGCACACTCCATGCACAGGTCACTGAAGGAGAAGAAAAATCAGTTAAAGCCTGCATTTACAGTATGAAAAACTAGGAAAAAAAAAAAAATCCAAGCACTAAGCAGTTTAGTTAGCCTGCTAGAAACACAGTCAAGATAAGCCTTTCAGTGTGGAGATTAGGAATTGCAAGTCAGGTGTTGTGGATCCACAGGCTTTGAGAGGAACTGCTGCTGCTCAGCATCTTACAGACCCGAAACTGCTAGTGCAGTTGGTCGGGATTACACTTGCATGATTTTGTTAAGATTAACACTTGCTCTGTCTGGAGAACATCAGTCCCAGTGCCCTGTGTGAAGCTGTCTGAACTTCTTGTTGACACACACCGGGCAGATCTCTTCTGTTTTTAAACTTTCCAGCATCTAGACCCATGGCAAGACTGCTTACACGAGTGCTCCAAAAACACTAAGGAACTGGACTTAACTGGATTAATTTCCTAGTAGGCTGCTTAAAGGCAGGAAAGTGCTATTATGGTATTACTCATACTGCTGTCCCATTTTTAGCTTTTAGAGGAATTTGTGACTTGAGACAATCCGTTTGTTGAACATTTAATGAGTATTTGAGTACATAATGAATTTTTTGCTCTCCTCATGTGATCTGGATTTCACAGCACCAGTACTAAACAAGTACTCATCAGTAAAACCTTTGATATCAGGGAATTAAGACTCAGTAGCCCAGGGGTAGCATACGTACAGTACAGTACTTCCCCAACCCCAAACACACACGCAATTAGGGATTAAATCTGCTCAGGGGTAGGGTGGGGGGAACAGGAGAAAAACTATGCTTAACCTCAACTTGTCACATCCTTAAAAGGAGGGGTTATTTCCTGTATGCTAAGGGGGTCAATCAAGATAAGCAGGGACTGCATCTAGTCTCACCTAAGCTGAATGTCTCTCTCACACACACAGTTTCCTGTTTCTTTGGTTTTGGGTTATTCTTAAGATTTTACCTGTGTCCACATGGCCTGAGTTCTGTGTCTGCCACCTCATCACAGCAAAGCGTGCAGCAGTTCTCTCGGATACTCACTTGCTTCAACAAAGCCAGGCGCCTGTGTCTGAAGAAAGAGACACCCCCCACAACACACACACACATTAGTTTGACTCAAAACAATAGATTCATAACTATTCTGAGTATTGCATCAAGACCAATGCAACACTTGCCTGTGCTACTCAACACTACTGCTGATAAACATCGATCATAACTTCCCACAAAAAAAGGCTTAACCCAGAGATGTTCAGAGCAATCTTCAACTCCCTATTCTGGTCTGTCAGAAAGGGACAAAAGGGCGTTAGATTACAATTCTTCTAGCTCCCACAGCTGAACACTTCAAAATTTCTTCTTTAGTATCTGTGTACTTAAGAGTTAAGAAGAAAAGAAAATAAGCTACAAACCCATGTATCAACAAAATTCAAAAACCCCATAATGCTGTAACACAGTTTAAAATAATAGAAATTGAAAATAAAATCAACAGCCCAGTATGGCAACTGCCACAAGGGAGAGTAAATGGATAAAAATCCCCCATTTGATGAAATAAGACATTTAAGATTTGGAACACATACACTACACATCAAAACTGTTCAATGGCAGGGTGACATGTCTAGCCCAGACTACGCCCCACACTAGATGCATTAAATTCGGCACAACTCTACATGAGGTTATGTTAAGTCCTGTGATGGATAATTAGGGTCCACTCAGACCCTTTTCCTTTTTTCCCCTATCACTTTTAAGATCAAAGCTCTCTTTAAATTTAGGATTGGCTTACTTCCAAACAGTTCAGGCTGTAGGGTAGGGATGATCTTTCTTTACACAAAGAGCAACAGTGTCCAACCTTGAATGGAGCCTTTCAGTGCTATCACATATTAAATAGGCTCTAACACAGGATGCCAAGTTTCTCCAGTCAGGCATCAACAGGAAACCAGTTTCCCCCAGTTTCTCTCTATACCTTTTGGCACAATCAAATAAGCATTAGCTGTCAGAGCTGTTAAGAGTAGTGCCAGAATGACATCAGTAACAATCACATCTGATCATCAGCTAAAAACTGCAGACACCTCATCTAGTGCATGACACTAATAAGACAGAAGAACACTTAATTTGAAAAGGGGGCTGACCAAGAATGGTAACTAACAGATCATCTTAAAGGATTAAATCAGACTCTCACTTAAAGCACCTGCAGTCACAAGCAGGTGTAAATTACTCTGGCTATCTGTAAGTACAAAATGGTCTTGCAAGTTGCATTTGATTTTCTCTGCATAAATACAGTAACACAAGCCTGAAACTTCATGAACGCATGACTCAGACCCAAGATTAATGTATTTTTTTGTTTTCTTTTTAAACACTAAGATACTTAAGTACCTCAAGTACACTTGATCAAACAGCTAGCTAATTCAAAACCAGTCTCTGAATGTTATTATAGCCAGGGGTACCCACGTCCAATAACCCCCGCACCCACTTAATTAGATGAAACAAAAGATTATTTCAACCACGTACATCAGCACCACTCTAGAGGGCCGTCTTTAGACAAAGATTCAAATCTGGGGTACGCTATATCCCAGATTACACTGTATACTGTTACTGTTTGTGTTCCAGTAAATTATTTTATTACTAATGACCTAAACCAGAAAAGCTATTAATTTTCATTCCTGTCAGAAAGTTGGTAAGTTAAGGAAAAATGTATCCAAACCTGTTTCTATCTGGCTTGATTTATATTTAGGTGGGAAAGCATTTCTAAACTTGTTGGTACTATCATTCACAAATGGTGAAATTTTTCATCTCAGTCAGAAAAGGACAACTTCAAGTCTTACAGTCATTCAGTACCTCCATGCTGCCAACATCACAAGTTAGGTCAATTTTAAAATAAGTTGTTTTTTTTTTTTTTAATTAAGACTATACCTCCTCAACCAACCTAATCATTCTTAGACAGCAGGAGGCACTTACACAACCAAAATCCATTAAATTAAAATACTTTTTTGTAATAATAAGCTAAATTAAATTAACTAGTACTGCACAGTAAACTGTTTTTAGTGTATCTCCCACCCAACTCATTAAGTTGCACTGGAGCCTATAGTCTAATCCTTTTCTGAAGAGACCTATGGAGGTGTGACCCCATAAAAGATAACTTTGCCAAGTACAACATAAGACTATGCAACTCAGAAGTGAGCCATTTTATTTCTCTGTATGCAAACACACTCAAACTACACAGGAGGATTACCTGGGCAAAATGATTTTCTCTTCTGCTGTCAGAAAGGCATAATCATTAAAGGTACTAAACTTCACGGATGGTGGGTATTTGAAAGGTTTTGCCCCAAAGTTGAACTCGCATTGTTGATAGGACATGAAACTAGCTGCAGCAAAAAAGCCAGATCTGCAATATGGTTAACAACAGACATTTTAGAATGACTTGAACAATAATAGAGCTTTCAAGACAGGTTACTATTATTACCAGACAAAAATATACCCTGAAACAAAGAGACAAGTTCCTTCAGTAGAAGTGTTCTACAGCTAATTGGGAGAAAAGCCTCGAAACACATCCAGTTTCAGCTGCCCATACTTCCCTTGTTTAGTTCTCAACTTCTGAATTTACTCTCAGGGTTTATCTGAATTTACTACTGAGTCAGCTAATAAAGGCTGCCTAATCTACAACTAGGATTAGTCACACTTACACTAGGAGCAGATATGTACATCTGTACAACCTGATCCTCCTTTACACTGATCAGCTCAGGTATCTCCTTCAGCACTGGAAAAAGCATTTTTCTTCCAAACAACTGCTGTTTAGTAGCATTTGTGAGGAGCAGTACCAACTGCAAGGGACACCTCCATGTCCACCACTCCTGCTGCTTTATTTGAGCAGGCACAACTCTGGGGAACTTCCAACTCCCACACACTTGTTGTATGGGACCCATGGAGGATGAATCCATGTCTGAGCTCTTAGCATAACGCCCATCTGTTCCTCCTTGCTCTAGCAGGATTACCTCAGCACAGCTGTCTTTTCACAGCCACACAGACACTTCGTAAAAACACCACAACTATCACCTCTTTCAGTTTTATTTACTGAAAGGGTCCAAGTCGAGTAGTACCTTAAGTTCTAACCAAGTAACAGAATCTGTTGAGTTCATAAATGACATACTCTACCTGAAGAACAGTGTACTGCAAGCTGAATAGACAAGATACTCTGCAACTCTTTAAACTCAACTACTCTCTGCTTGCATCTTGAACTTTGTTTTGAGGATAACACATGAATGAAATTATTAGCATTAGTAGTATTAATTTACGAAGTGCTGTAATGTTTAATTAAGCTGCATAGGAAGCTTCTTTCTCAGGTATCACACCAGCTGATCTTTTCAGAACTAAAAGGCTGAACTTATCCATGAGGGTCAGAGGAGTTAGCCATGTGTTAATTTTAACAGAGTTGGCAAAATAAGCCTAACACCTTGTAATGCTACCAAGAGACAGCCTTCCATGAATATTCAGTATGCTACTACAGGAACTGGCCCCAGTGAACAGCAGTAAGTTAATACGCACTCTTCAGCATTTACTGGACCGAGGCTTTACTTTTTAAAAGATCAAAAATTCCTCAAGCACTACTAGAAATTTGTTCATCTTTGCTACAGCCTCATTCTATTTCAATGCTCTGCTCATTAGAAAACAGAGCTGAACCTTTGGAAGGTCCAAAGTATTCTGGACCCTGAAATCTACCTGTAAAATTACATTCTTCTCACTGATTTCTAAGCAACTTTCAATTGGGAAACCTCCTTAATGATGGCTTCAGGTAAGCAAATATGAATTTACATCTCAAATAGGAAACACTTCATATAATTAAAACAATTATCCACACAAGTCACTGTCCTTCCAAATGAGCACATACTTACACAGCAGATGAAAATACTTGCTTCTCAGCAGGAAGCTGGTTTCCATTTAAATAGAAGATCATTTGCTTTTCTTGCAAGTCTAGTAGAAATCCTATTGTGTCTCCTTACATGCAAAAGAAAGATAATTTCAATATTTCACTTCTGTTAAATGCCAACAGCTGAAACAGTTATTGTTTTAAGTGTATATCGCACTATGAGTTGTCTCACTTAAACTCTTTGCAAAAGTATAAATGAAGAGACATTGATACAGATAGTAACTAAAGAAAAAAACCCAGGACAAAAAAAAATTAATTTAGTCTGCCAGAGCATTAATATTACATAGTAGTAGAAATATTGCAGAGTATTTCCCAAAGCCAGAAAAAAGCTGCACTCTGTCTCTTGTTGGCTATTTTAAACCTGCTGAAGACATCCTTAGAACACATACTTGCTGAAGTCTAAGTTTCTAATACGTTTGTGCTATTTATTTTTAAGAGGTGTTTTAATTTAGCCATCCTTGGGAGAAGTTTTTAATAGAAGATGGCACAGTTCACACAAGCATGGCATGCACAGACTCCTACCAAGATTTCAAAGCTGAGATCAAGAACAGAACTTTGCTGTCCAAATAGTTATCCAAGAATTTAAAGTAAGCAAAACAGTGCAACTCCTCCTTAAAAAAAAAAAAGGTCCAATTCAGAGATCAAGATTTTTTCCCTTTTCTAAAATAACTCTTTCAACCCTGAAAGGAAGATTTCAACCCTGTTTTGTAGGACTACAAACATCTGGAAAAAAAGTCTTATGATTAAGTGTCCAGCAACATTATTAGTTGGTGCTACAATTTGTACTCTGCCTATGAAAAGAAAAAGCATTTAACCACCAAGATTCTCTTTACACAGATTGTCGAACAGAGTGTGGTGCCCAGTTTGTACATTTAAACCACTGCAAATACTAGTAAAGGCGCAATGATTATTAGACCTTTAGTATCATCATGATTAGGCAGTAACTGCTCTGTTCGCACCTACTAACAAACTGTTTTCTAGACACCTGCAAGAGGAAAAAATCCTGTGCAGAAATCCAGCTAGGATAAACAGCAGAAGATGTACAGAATACCTTCTTTCCAACAGGGATGGGAATGTGGTTTACTTCTGGCATTATACCAAATCAGCTGCCGGCAGCCATCGTATGCACAGGAGTATTCATCGTCCCCGATGCCATAACCTTCCTTTAGAAAAAGAGTAAAGCCTTTCAGTCTGCAGCCATTCCTCACACAGAGGGGCTAAAGTTTATTTTTGTTCAACTAAAGCATTCATCCAAGAGCAGGAAGGGTTTCTCCCACCCCCGTGATGATAATTTTTTCAAACCAGTCTTAGTTTCGTTTTCACATCAAAAGGAATTTGTTGGGGTGAGGAGTGGAAGAGGGGGAATATTGTCTCCAAAGTGTTTTTCATTCTCTGTGAGCTCAAATCACTCCTGTCTATTAAACTATTTAAAAATCACAAGGCTAGTACCCAAATAGCTGACTTTTTACATCTCAAAAAGTCAACATAGAAGTGTAATCACTCTCTTATCCTGAAGTCCCAGTACCAGACTTCCCCCATACCCTCCCCCAAGATATCCAAGTGCCACCAGAACATCAGTACACAGAAAGAGAACAAACTCATATTCCCTTCACTGAATCTGTTGCGTATTGTGTCCCTTTCAGTGCCAGCCTCCCTCAATTTGTGAAAAGGTTATCAAGTGATAGTCCCAAGGTCCAAGACAAATGCAAAACTAACAGTTTCAGAGTGGGAGAAGAATTTGTCACGTAGGAGAGTGCAAACACGAAACCCAAAAGTGTTATGGAAGATAACTTCCGTGTGCTCAGCATGGTTTGTCTGGAGTGCAAATGCCAGACAGTGTCTGATTACACAAGCCTCAGATGTCCCAAATTAAAGCTAAGCCCAGCTAATGGGTGTTTAACGTCATATTTAGGACTAGTCTTTTTTTACACATGCTGTAAATAAAGAGCATATGGCTACTCTGATGATTCTGTGACATACCCAGAAGATAATACCCTTGTATTTCAGGTAGACACTTGATGAACAGTAGCACTTAGCCACCAGCAAAACAGTTGTAGCAACAGAAAATCATCCTGCTCACAGCTGTGACATCTCTTATATTCATACCTTGTACAGGAAGCACAGACAGAAGAATGCATATACACCAAGCTCCTTAACAGTAAGTGGGAAAAATCTTTTAAGCCTCTTAGCAGTCTAAAGGCAGACACATGGCCTTTTATTTCAAACAGTTTCCATTACACTCAATGTCTACAATGCCTGTGCTCAGGACAGGTCTGTATGGTATTTTTGTTTGGTTGTGTTTTTTTGGTTTTGTTGGGGTTTTTTTTGGGTTTTGGGTGGGGTTTTTTTGCTTTGTTGTTTTGTTTTGTGGTTTTTTTTTAAATTCAAATCACACTTGCAGTTCCATGCTAGAAATGTGGGACTGGACTTTAGATGTGATGTAGAGATATATGCATGTTATAAACCAGCAGAGGACAATGCTATTTACATGAATAATGAGAAGAAACAGAGCAAGACTACTGAACTCACAGGAAGACTTAAGTTAACTGTGAGAAAAGCTATGCTCCCATTCCTGTTAGGTTTCTTGCCACCAGTGTTTGTTCTGTCTCCTTGATAAATTTTTCTCATACCCCGCACCATCAATATTTACTCACATGTATTTTTTTGGCCTATCTTCATATTAGCCTCTGCATTTGACTCAGCTGTAGAATGACTTTTTTGTATAATAATCAGAAATGAGCAGTTTTAACTGCTTATCTCTACATTTTTTTTATATACATATATATACACACACACACATATATATATAAAAAATTATTCTCCTAAATTAAATTCCAAGCAGGAACAGAAAGCCATGCAATTACAACAATGAAGTAGGGCTAAGGGTATATTTCTTACTCAGGCTCAGCCAGTAGAACTGTCAACTTAAAATCCCAGCCCTGTATTTCCATTCTGGTCAGTGGTGGTAAGCTGGGCCATACATGCCTTTTGTACTAAAATTCTAGCTTGCACTTTAATGAACTTTAATGAAAGTTTGGAAGGTTGATAATATGGAAAGTCCTCTCTAAGCTGAAGCAGAGAAGTTTTTTGGGTAGTAATCATTACACTTTCTTAGTATTATGGAAATACTGAAGCAAATATGCTACAGCGTACCAAGTTTACAACAGCCGTCCAGAGTTACCATGAAGATTTAAGACGAAAAAGTCCTAGTTACATCTCTACTAAGATTTGAGATTATTCTTCAACTATAGGTGCACATGGCACATTTTGCTTTAATGCTAATAAGTACATAATTTTAAAGGTAAAATATCAGGAAGAAGAATACTTAGAATTAAGAATAAGATACTAAGTTATCTGGATGAGAGGAAGAGCAAAGCAAATATACAATAAGATGGGGTACTTATTCTACATTATCAGAATAAAGGCAAGAAGGTAGAGGGTTAAATCTTTTTGTAATCCTTATTTTTAATTAAAAAGAAGCCATCACATACCAAACTGTACCATATTACTACTACCAGCAGATCCAATGATACCATGCTATCCCAGAGTCAATTTAAATAATTATTTCCCTTGTGAAAGTTAATTTAATATGAAAGTATGTTAGAAAGGGTAATCAAATGGCTGCTTTGTGACCTGTGTAAAAGTGAGTGTACGATAATCTGCAGGCAGCTATGCTTTACTTGTGCGAACAGTGTCAGTCTATAGCAATGACAATACAGCCTTTTCTTGTACCACTAACTTCATCAAAAATAGCTTCATGAAAGTACAGAAAAAAGAACACACACGTGTTCAGTTACTACCACAGAATAACCACAGCTGTTTTCATAGGTGTTGTAAGTAGAAAAGTACTGAAGTTACATCATCAGCTAGATTACATTACATGTACTCACATGATTGAGAAATTTGCTGTCTTTGGTAGCCCATCCTATCTGCATCACTCCCGAAGTAATGACTGTAACTTCATAGTACCAAACTCCAGAATCAACACAGAACGTACATCTAACGCTTTCAAAGGATGAGGCATCACATCGAGCCTACCAAAACCAAACCAAAAGTTAGGTTTCTACCAAATTAGCATTCAAACAATCCCCTTTCTTCCCTGGATCAATTTTCTTGCATATAAGAATACACCAGCATAATTCTAGAGGCACTTCAGACAGAAAGTGACCTCTCTTTATAGCAGTAATTGTCACACAAACTAGCAAGTAGGCAAGACTGAAAATTGTTCAGTGGTAGGCCACAGGAAGGGAAAAAAAAAAACAAAACACCAAACCACAAACAAAAAAAAACTCGTAGAGAGTTGACAGAGTCAATCTAAAGATTTAAAGATGAAGGCAACCAAGACAGGAAGACCTAAATCATTGGCTGTTAGCTGACTCCTGGTACAAAGGACTGAGAGGTATTTCATGTTACATGAATTAGAAAAATTAACAGAGGAAGGAAAACAACCAAACCACATATGGCTGAGACAAAAATCCTACTGCTATGGCCTTTTCAAGACTAGGCAAAACAAACACTAGGAATTATACTTTGTGAACAATTTCAGTCAAAATGAGTGAAAAGCCAGCTGACTCTTAAGAATCTCCTCACTTTTTTGAAGTTTTGGGGCACAGATACAGGTGTTACTTTCCTGTGAACACTTCTACAATTTAGATCAGTGCAGCGATGTTACAACCCACTGACAAAGCAAGTGTTCTATACAAAGCTGGCAGAGAACTTTGATTCATTCTAGGAAATCACAGGAGCAAGTAGCAAACAAAAACAGTTGAAACCTGCCTTTTTCTTCAGGCTCCTTTTTAGGTTGAAATCATGAAGTGACATCCTACCTCTAATCCGTGCGGTGAGATCTTCAGGTATTCACTGACATCGTTACTGTTCAGCATAGCCCTAATGTTGGTCAAGTCAACTTTCTCATATGTAAACTGCCTGCCTTCTTTTAAAACTGCAAAATAAAACTAGTTTTAATCACTGCTGCAGCAAAACCTCATTTTAAACATTTCACACAGTGGCAATCAATCCCTCTAGTAGGCAGTTAATTTTTGGCATAACTGAATGAAATATTGGTATTTTGCCTGCATGAAAACAGCATCATTTCCAATACACTGTGTGTTAAATATCCTCTAACAACCTATACCACTGACTAGAGCTCCTACAATCTAATTACTACTTTCAGGAAACCCACAGGCAAATGTAAGGCATCCAAGTTCATACCAAGATAGCACTGTTTCAGGATTTACCACTGTATTTGTATGTTCAGTTGGCAGAGTTTTTCTGATTCATCACAGTGGAAAAGATTTTAGGGATGGGGAAGAAGGGGAAAACAAGGATTTGAAGTCTTTTACCCTCTCATTTTCAGGTAGGTGATGAACTTGAACTGAAGTAAAGCAGCTCTTTCTCCCTGCATCCCCTTTTCACATGGAAGGATCAGAAGCATTTCTCTTGCCCAATGTCAAATTGCTGACACATGCATGTTAATTTACTAATCAGAGATCTTACCTTAGGACCCTTCATATATCCCAAGTTTGCTACAACACTTATACAGATGTTTACTAAACACAACTGACATTGGTATTGCATAAGCTGACTAAAGCCCCATAAAGCCCAAATTTATCTAAAAGGCATTAGAAACTACAAGGTCCTTAGAGTTGCTTCACCTTTGAAATCATAACTAAACAAGCGAATTGGATGACTGTTAGTCATCCAAAAGGACAGATCTAGTAAAGTGCTTTGTCAAACACTTTTCACTTTTGGTCACAAGACCGTATCTTTACTTTAAAAAGTCTTTAATAATTCTTTCAGCACTGCTGGGGTATGACCACAGTCATGACTGTCACTAGGATATGTCAGTAATCCACTTGTTCCACAGAGAGACAGAGCTGCACTATTTAGCTACTCAGCACATCTGCTGAAGTGTGAGGTACAGAAAATGCAGTGCAAAGAAGAATTTTCATTGCAGCTCCAACTTGCAGAGTACAAACCACTTCCTTTCACAAACATTTTCCTTGCCAAAATTTCCTTTCCATACAATTACACTGGATTTATTTCCCTTTCTTTTTTTAAGAAGAGTAATTACAAATACAGTCAGGTATATTTACAATAAGTACTTATACAAAACAAACACAACGTAGTCCTCCATCTCTTTGGAGAAGTGATTAATACTAAATGAATCTATCCCTTCATTATACCTACACAGATTGTCTAAACTCCACTGGGCACAGAATCCAACCTGGCGTTTTAAATAGTCTGGATTATCTGTCCATTTCTCTAGCAAGATCAGTTGGTCACTAATGCACGATTCTGAAACTGTCATTTTATTTTCACCTGCAATTTAAGAGCAAAAAAGAATAATTGCTATCAACTAGGGATAAGTTTAGTTAAAAATAGTAACATTCTACAAATGCAGTAGAACACCCCCACACACACCTTTAAACCTCAGTATTACAAACAGCATGAAATTCTTTCCCCAAGCAGACATGAAATGAACTTAACATTCAGATATACCACTTCTCAGCACAGAGCTGCATCATCAAGGGACTATTAGATCACAGCTGCTCTCCATCTTTCTAAAACAGATTTATTAGGGGATCAGGCCCAGCCAGCATGGGTTCATGAAAGGCAGGTCCTACTTGACCAACCTGATCTCCTTCTATGACCTGGTGACCGGCCTGGTGCATGAAGGAAAGGCTGTGGATGTCATCTACCTGGACTTCAGCAAAGCCTTTGACACCGTCTCCCACAGCATTCTCCTAAGGAAGCTGGTGGCTCATGGCTTGGACGAGTGTACTCTTCGCTGGGTAAAAAACTGGCTGGGTGGCCAAGCCCAGAGAGTTGTGGTGAATGGAGTTACGTCCAGCTGGCGACTGGTCACAAGCTGTGTTCCCTAGGGCTCTGTTTTGCGGCCAGTCTTGTTTAACATCTTTATCAACAATCTGGATGAGGGGATTGAGTGCGCCCTCAGTAAGTTTGCAGACGACACCAAACTGGGTGGGAGTGTCGATCTGCTGGAGGGTAGGATGGCCCTGCAGAGGGACCTGGACAGGCTGGATCGATGGGCCGAGGCCAATTGTATGAGGTTCAACAAGGCCAAGTGCTGGGTCCTGCACTTGGGTCACAACAACCCCATGCAACGCTACAGGCTTGGGGAAGAGTGGCTGGGAAGCTGCCTGGGTGAAAAGGTCCTGGGGGTGTTGGTTTCTACATTTCTCTTCTACATTTGTGTTCCCACCAATCTAATCTTTCTCATGCTCACAAGCATTATCAGATGAAGCAAGTGACAATCACGCAGCAGAAGCCATAGTATGACTGTTAAGAGCAGTAGCAGGCGAATACTTACTTGTTTGTGCAAACTTCTCCAGGGCTATTAGTGCAAAAAGCATCACTGTTGGATGGGACTGGAAGTTCTAAACATAGGCAGTAAGAAAAGTTATTTAATAAATACCCAGCACAGATGGATAGGAAAAGCTGTTAGTCTGTCACAGAATGCTTTACGTTGAAAGGGACCTCCAAAGGTCATCTAGTCTACCCTCCAGGCTGCTCAGTGCCTTGTCCTATTGACTTCCAATTATCTCTAAGGATGGAGATCCCACAGACTTTCTGGAATCTCAACTTTCTATAACATGCATTACTAGTATTTACCAAACACGACCCTAACTTTTCACAGTAATAATAAAAATAAATTGCATTATAATTGCTATGTATGGATACATACAAAAAGATTGAAGACACTTACCAAGCTCTGAAGTAAATATTCCAATATGCCTGGGCTGAGTAAGCCTATACTTGCAGGACCTACGAGAAAATTAAAAATTAAATCCATCCATGGGAACTACCATATACTCATCATCGCGCAGAACTTTTAAACACAAGGCAACAAATTAAAGAACATCCAAGAACTTCACAGCGAAGCAGAACTATAATATAGAACAATTATCATTGTTCCCAGTCAAATATTTGCCACACATTTAATAATTCCACGGTTACTGCCAAATTACAAACGTCTTCAGTTTACCTACTGTAAATGGGTACAGAGTTCTAGCCACGCTGTTTTTGAAGTAAGACTTCATCAGCCTCTGCCTAGAGTTTTTATGCTCATTACTTTCAGAAAGAGACTGGCTCCCCTTTACTTCCAGAGTCAAAGTATAAAGACTAGCTCCACTTATCAAGAGCCCAAAATAAGCAAAACTGAGCGTCTAATATAGCTTGCTTGATAGTTAATTATACAATTTGCAGCAGCACCATTGCAAGCAGCCAATTTAAAAAAATGCCCTGAAATACCATCTGCTTAATCAAGAGAGAGATACAAGGGAATCAAAACTATCATCTACAAACTCTAAAAAATTGCAAAGGGTTCCAACACAGCATTAACTGATTTGCTGCCTGAGCTGATATGATGAGAACTGTTCCGTGACCACTAAGAGAAAAGTAGATACAGAATCTCATTTTGACTTAGTATAACAGGGTTTAAGTATTATAGTACAAAAATGCTTTCTGCCCTTGTTCTTTACTTTTTTTTTTTTTTGACAGAAATATTGAAACTATTTTTTAATAACCATTAGGTGATACCAGACAATCACTATTTCCTCCTTTTCCTGTCCGCTTTCAGAAAAGGAGAAAAAAAAAACCTAGATACAAAACTGACCATGAGCAGGAAGGAAACTTAATCATCAGTTTCCAGCAGGGTACTAGAAATGACAGGGAATAAAGAGTTCTATATGAAAAGTCACCTTAAAATAGAATCCCAGCAATTTTAAGTAGCACAGAAGAGAGAATCTTTTCAGCTAACTACAGTAGAATAATACATGCTTAGCAGAAAGAGCATCTCTCCTTTTTGTTTCTATTCAGCCTCCGACACTACTAATTTGATGCTCCTGCCTACTGGCTGAAGAACTACACGTTCTCAGTAATTCACACACAGCCAGAGTAGGTCCACAGAAAAGACTGATTACCACTGCTAAGGCAATATACCACAAAAAACCATCAATCCACAATCACTAACCGCACATCAGAAAGATTTGTTCTTTTTAAGTATCTGGGATTGTGAATGGCTTATTCAGACCCAAGCTAGTGACTGTTTAACATTTTAATCAAGCATTAGACTTGGTCACACCTGTCACACAAGGTCTTCCCTTGATGCAGAACATTATTCAGTTCTAAGAAAACATTTCTGAACTAGTCTGCATCATGGGCGCTAAAGCAGAAGGTGCTTCAGCAAGCCAAATGCAAGCTTTCACAAGAATCCCACAGCTTTACCTGCTAACTTCTCTGCTAAGCAGCCCAGTACTGCAGTTGTATTCCGGTGTTTGGCAGGGTGACAAGCATCCTGGCAAGCAGCAGCTCCACTTAAGTTTAATATTTCAGTTAACTTTTGTAATGCATCCTGAAAAAGAAAAAGCAGAAATCTCTTCAACATTACTGACAGATACAGTTTTCCCCCTAACTCAATACAGTATGACAAATTATTTTTACACTACATTACTAAAGTTAGCATCATATTACAGACAGCATGGCTATCTTTTAAGATAAGAAGAAAATAAAGAGCAGATGGGAAGAGAATTTCAACATACCCAAGATTTGTAACTTTAAAGTTACCACTAGATTGCTGGTCATTGTTGTGATCAACAACTCGGGATACCTCTGGATGTACAGAAGGGAGCTACCTATAGCAATAAGAACTTCAATAGTAGACAAAGGCAAACAATACCAATCAGCACATATAGCACTACTGCTGTCTAATCTTCTTCCAGTGTCCTAAAACTCACACCCTTTCCAAAAGAAAAGGGCTGGTTTAGACTTTAGAATTCGGGACTAAAGAGACATGCCCCCCAAAAAAGAGCCCACATCCCCATCACAAATTTAAGATGCTGTCAGCTTTAAAGGATGTCATAAATGGTATTCTTGAGAGCATAAATGGCTTTTTGTAGTCACACTAATTTAGGAAGCAACCAATGAGGGTAATAATCTAAAATGCCATGCTTTGACTTGCTTCATTCAGGCAGTATAGTATAGATAAAATTCAAGACAGATCTAGAGCATACCCTCCATTTTCAGAGGAGTTAGGGGTTAATCTAGAGCCAAAACAAGTTATCCCACAGGGAGAACCCCACCCCACAAAGTTCCAAATCCCCCTCAACCTTCCAGACTTCATTAAAGTTTCAGCTGATTCAGATTGAAACTGCATAATCTCAGGCTAAGATCTAATTAAAATAGAAGAATTCCTCATATTGAAGTCATCAGCAGGCCATTTGAGAAAAAATTAGTACTGCTCAAGTTGAATATATATGTTTTTTTGAATTATGTTCTGAGCTACACTCAAATCAGTTTACTGCGCTAGAGTCTGAGGTTTGTACAGAGATAACACTGAAAAGTAGTTATGCTCCCCAAAAAAAGCCACAAAACCAGAACTGATGAATGGGACTGACACTAAGTGGAAGGAATAGAGAAAGAAGAAAGGATGACTGAGCCACAGACTTGGGATGGAAAAGCCTCACTAAAATTAGACTCTTGACATACTCTGATACTGCTTTTAGCCATTATTAGAACCGTCACAGAGATCAACTATTCTGAGTTAAATAAAGACTTCATAGAATAAACAGTTTACTACACTGCCATTTTCTTTATGGGCTTTATAGCTTACAATAACAGAAAGTTAAATACATCCTGCTGCTGTTCTCCAGCTGTCACAGAAGTAGGGCACTGACTTAAAACCCTTAAGACCAAAAACTTAAACTTATCCTAAAGAGAAAGAAAATGAACAGCAGCAAACAATTTACTAGGCTGCATGTGACTAGCAGATCCAACAACTGCAGCTCCTTGTGCCATAAAGAGATTCTGTGCACCCCAGAAACAAGCACCTTATTCCTTTTGTCTTGTTAAGGTCAACTATTTCATAACCAACTCCTTAAAATTAGAGTACCTAAATAAAAATCATGTGGCTTATGAAAAACAAATAGTTTGATTGCCAAGTACATTGTACAGTTGAACAAAAAAAACCCCAAAATCACTCTTCACATAGCACATTCACAGTGGTCTCCATTTCTTGATTTCTTTTTCAAAGCAGGCAAAACTTCCAGTCATACCTTTGTTTCAAAAATCATTTTGCAGTCTACGTGACAGTTTACACAACATTTAACTTGTTCAAAAGTCTCAGATTACTTTAATCAACAGCCTAGAAGAAAAAAAACCTCACTCCAGGTAGAGCACTTGACTAGCTCTCCAGCCACTCATGCATTTATGTAAGCATTAAGTAGCAATTAGATACCAAGTTACCACAAATTACTCAAAGCTACAAGTTACACCCATTTTCTGAACATCTAACAGAGTCTTGCATCACTGGTGAAAACCACCCAGAAGCTATCATGGGTGTGGCAACCATGAATAACTGAAATTCAGCCACAGATAAACACATACGCTTCAGACTCACTTTTGTTGGCAGTGGACATTCATCAAGTAGTAGCGTTATAACAGCTGGTCCCAGGGGATCTTCTAATGGAATAACTCTAATTAAAGATTGGACAACTTCCAACCAGCCTTCATCTGTCAACCACAAAACAGAAGTAAGGCTCAGAATTAACACTGCAATTCTGAAGTGTTCAAAATACATCCATAAATGTAAATTGAAAAATCCTCAAAATTACCCAGTCAGTTTACAGACACTAGGAAAAAGAAAAAACCCCAACAGTTTACTTTTTAAATGAATATCTTAGTTTGCAGTAGTTTAAAGGAGGAAAAGAAAGTTTACAGCAGCTTGCATAATAGTGAACACCTCCATTGTTTGGAGAACAGTCTCGCCCAGGTCAGAGCATCCTTTAGTTCCCACTACTATTAGGAAGGAACACTCATGACCATGGACATGACTCATGGACAAGCACTTTGTTCCAGTGTGATACTCGAGTTCAGTGTCCAATGTCAACTCTTAAGTGTTAAATGCTGCATCCACAATAACACTGAAAAAATATTTCTTCTAGCCAGAATCAGAGCACTCTTCTTAAGTTCCCTCAGGTAACACAGACCTCAGAGGAACTGCATTAGCTTGTCCCGTGCCTGGTGGTCTAAAGAAAATTTGCTTTCATAAGGAACAGCTCTCACTGTTCAATGATTAGACAAGGACTTCTACTTGCAAGCAAACAATAAGCCTCATATGAGATGTTAAACTACTAATAAAGTAAACAGATTTGGATTTACAAGAAACTAGTTCCCTTAGAAGTGAAAATAAAGACAGAGTCTGTATCTGCATACAAACAAGTGAGGTTGAAAAGACTTGGCACTCCCTTCAGTGGTGACAACTACATATAAGTAACACATTGGGGTTTGAGTTTTGTTAGCACATTCCCCCGAAAAACACTTTACTGAATTGCTGTAATATCTAATTAGGTTGATTAATTTATTTTGATATAGAAATACATTTCCTAAGACCAGTACCAACTCTACTAAGAGACACAAAAATTCACCTAAACCAGAAATTTGGTGGAGGTCTTGAGCAGGAAGAATTTCTCCTGCTCTAACAAAGACCAAAAAAAAAAAGCTTGCAGGAGTACTCAGGGACAAGGCTGGAACAACTACATCAATAAAGTAGAGGTCTAAGGACAGCAAAAGCCAAGACAAAAAAGTATGTACTATTTGCCAACACAGGAGCACATGGGTTTCAACTATGTGGGTTGTTTCTGCCTTACTGCAAACAGACATTCCTTGTGGCTTATGGTTTAATGCCATTACAATGTGTTTGTGGCCATCCGTTGGCTACCTCTGGAGAGTTCACGCAGGAAGTTTAATGGAGTTCAAAAGAACTTGGGCAAATGCAATGAGCTCAGTGAAACTTCTGAAGGGCAGAACTGTTTTGGATCCCACATTCCTAGAGCTACAGCAAGTTGTAATACATACTGCTAGCATGTATTTTTCTTCACAAAGAAAAGAGGGATTTTTTTTGCTTTGGAGTTACAACTGAAATGCCCAACACAGTGCCTTGATACCTGTTTCTGCCATTTCATGCAACGTGATCATTGAATAAGGAGGCTCCTGGTCACTGAAAGAGATATTACATAGGTCAAAATTTATGCACACTCATCAATATAATACACCAAATAAAATGATAATACACAGACAGAAAATTAATCCAGTAGTATTTAACAAAAGGAAGTTACACAGGCTGTGTACTGCTAATGCTGTTTTCAGATCTGAAACACAGATAGGATCTGAGTTCTGGCTCAAAGTCAACATCTGCACATCTACAATAGCTGATAAATGAAATGGTGATCCATATCCACATGTCTAAAAGCTTAACACAATGCTTAGGCAGAGCACTATTCATTAGCAGGGTTCCTCAGAGTACGTAACAAGAGACTCTATGTCAGAGGTTATGAAGTGAACAGAGAGCAGTGCACAAGGGACACTGCTGCTTAAACATGATTTTTTTTTTCCCCCAGAAATTCTCTGCTAAATATATAGATATTAAAAAACCAAAACCCACAAAACTGAAAGGCAAGCCACCTAACAGCATTATAGACTTCAAACTCATTAACAAGAACTGTGAGAAATAGTTAAGGTAGTTTAACAGAAGATATTTAACCCAATTCCTTTTCCAACATAAAAACATAAAAAGTTCAATTAGATCAGTTCCTCAATCTGGTTTGCTGGAGCAATGGCAAGAACCCATAGCCAGTGCTTATCTGAGCAGGCATTGCTGTTGAAAGTACCGAAAGCAAGATCTCAAAATCCTACTCGGTAATCATCTCCAGGTCAAGAAAAAGCTTATGCAGCAGCATATCCTAAATGCTTTATTCAGTGCTACTGAGGCATTGTGAACTAACCCCAGACTTAGAAAGATATGTTCCAGGCTCCATTTCTACCACACACCTCTGAAGTGAAACCAGAAATGCTAAATACAGATGAAATTTAGAAAATTTCATGCAGGTTAATCATGCAAATAATAAAGCTACCTACTTTGGAGGGATTAATTATAAAAGAGAAAATCTCAGTTTTGACTGAAAATATGATTAAAATACATGCTTTTCTTACCAAAAAAATTAACACACTCTTACATATTTACAAAAGAAAATGCTGAAGTTTAAACACATTTTTATATTGCCATAACACTGGAAACAAATATTCCCCCCACCATCTCTTTGCCTTTCTTCTGGAAACTAATCTCCCCAGCAGGAAAAAGCAGTGCAATGATGCAAGCAGAATTACCTTAAGAGAAAGGATGTAAAGACTCAAAGCAAGAAGAAAAAAAATACTGTAAGTACAAGTAAAGGCTATGATAAAAAAGGAGGAAATTTTTATCAGCAAGATTTCTGATTCTGGCATGGGTAGCAGGTGTTAGCAGTACTGGCACCAAGCAAAGGAGAGTTCTGTCCCACCAATTTACCATTTTAACCACTTAATTTCCAAACATCCCCACCTTCCTCATTTGGAAACAAACCAGTCATCTTGCTAATTTCTTAATTTGTAAAGCAACACTTCATATAAACTCCAAAAATTAGTACTTATTCTACTGAGGCTAGGAAATGAAACTTAACTCCTTTCCTTCTAGAAAGGAGTTATCTCTAGGTATGAGAGGAAAAAAAGCAGTTGCCAGGTATGTTTCATGTCTGAACTTTGAGATTTGATAAAACAAAAAACCAAAAACCTAAACAAGAAAACCCAAACAAACAACAAACATGGAAAGCAACTGTTCATTGCAGATCTTGGTATAACAACTTAATTTACAATTCATCTCACAGTGTCTCCATGTATTAACTTTCAGTACAGAATTTGGAAAAAAAATTGTCAGAAAAAGGCTTTTGCCTTCCATTCTTTAGACTGCTACCTTTTTAAGGCTGTACTATCACACTGAAGCCTGTATTTCCAACCTGCTCTTACTGGTTTCATTTTAGTTTGACTTTACTCTTGCACATTTTTTGACATAAAGAGATTTGTCAGCTTCTCTACCATTTCCTTCAGTTGTGGTGTTTTCAAAACTGAAAAATTAGGCTCTAGGAAGAACAGGTAATAATGGAACATACTTATTCCTACAGTCTCCCACTTACACTGAAAACCAGGATTTCCAGACATGGATTATTTTTTTTTCCCCTCCTAGTGAGCATTCCTACTAATCTAAAAGGGCTATCATTAGCTTCAATTCTAGGAGAAAGACTGCTTAAATTTTTTTCAGACTCATTTAGATAGTTTGCCTTGTGAACAGGCCCTCTCCATTATTCATACCTGTATGTCTCTGTCTTATCTGCAAGAACTTGTAATATGTAGATGTGTTATAAAACCAGATGCATCTTACCAACTGCCTTAATATGAAACAAGGGAAACCAGTATACCAGTACAGACCACTTTTGGGCTCCCCAGGATAAGAAAGGCATTGCTATAAGTGAGTGTGTCTAGCAGAAGGCTACTGAGATTGTTGAGGGCTAGAGAACATGCCATACAAAGAAAAGCTAAGAGAAACAGATTTGTTCACCCTTAAGGGGGGGTAGGAGAGAGGAGGGGAAGTCTTATTGTTGTCTGCAACTTTGTAATGGGAAAGAGCAAAAAGGACAGAGCCAGACTCTTCTCAGAGGTGCACAGCAACAGGACAAGAAGCAACAGGGTTGTGTTGGAACATGGGAAATTCCAACTTTTAAAAATATTTACTTATATAAAGTGTGTGGTGGTCAAGCACTGGAACAGGAACCCAAAGAGGTGGAGAATCTCCGTATTCCAAAGATGTTCAACACTTGATTGGATAAGACCCTGAGCCACCTGCTCCAGCTAGACCTGGGTTTTAAGGAGGTTGGAGCAGATGAACTTCTGGAGGTCCCTTCCAACCTATGTCATTATGTGAGTCTAACAAAGTATTTCACTGGAGTCTGTATAAAAAAAAAATACAGTAGCTTCAGGGATTTGTCAGAAACAGGACTCCAGGATCAGTGAAATAACTAAGCTTATTGTCCCTCAGTAGCATAGGAAAGCACTTACAAGATTACAAAACTGATTGGAAGACCCACAGGAACAGGATCAACTATGCACAAAAGCATTGTGAAACAGCTTAAGGAGCTGAACATAGGGGAAAGGGGAAGGCATGCGATATTAGGGAGAGACTTGCAAAAAAATTTGCCATAATTTTAATTTAATGCTGTGAAGACAGACCACAAAATAAAGCCTGTTAAAAACCAACTCTCTTAGATTTAAATGTTCAGGAAAAAAATATGCCCTGGTATTTCCATTTAAAGCATTTTACAGCAGGAAGGCAAACTCCTCGGCTGCAGGCACATTCCAGAGTAACGATGCAGGTATATGAATCAAGGCTCACTTATCCTGAGCCTTATCCACTTAAACCCCAGCTTGTGAAGCTACAAGTGTTTTTCCTTCTGTTTTGGCCTTTCCAATTCCTAGCCTGCACCTAACCCTAAAGGTGATGAGCTAACCTAACCCAGAATTTTTAATGTCCTTTTAAAGCTTTGTAAAAAGCAACACAAAACAAAACAAAAGGACGAATCCATAAATATCCCCCACACCCTAAATGGATGCTTTGAGCATGCAAGGAATGCAATACTGGGGTCATGAGTTGAACAGCCACAACACACGGTCTTTAAAAAGCAGTCAGACTTATAACTGGAAAGAAAACCTCAGTCTGTTTCTACAAACTAACAAAGATCAAAGCCCTCAGTTTTTGCTTAACAATTTCCAAAGAAGTAAATACAGCCTGAAAACAGAAATCTTGCACAACAACCAATTTTTAGGACAGAAGTTCCCAAGCTCTGGAGCGTTCATGGCTTCCTAAACTGTGTATCTATGCCAGGTAAGGAATACTGAGCACACTCCTCATCCCACCTGGGTGTAGGCCCATACAGGAACTGAGAAAACTCCTCAGCTCCTGGAGGAGTCTGTACCTGGGCACTCAGGAGCTACTTCTATTACCTAGGAAAGGTGTTCCTCTCCTAAGCCTCCAGATGGAAACACGTGGCTGCTTCAGGGAGGGTCAGGTGTAGATCGGTGAGAGGATGGAGTCACAGTTTGAGAGAAGACAAGAACATTTTCATTCATGTTGAATTATTCCTTGAGGAGGTACTTACTTATCTACTAACGTCCGAATTACAGCCAGCGTGTCAAGTACTAGCCCATCCACATTCTGTTTTTTCCTTCTTGGTTCATGAGGCCCTCGACCTCTCCTGGGTGGACGGACAGGGTCCCTTGGGTGGCTTCTTGCTTCAGGTACATGTACTCTACTGTTCTCTGTTTGCCGACTCCGAGATTCTACATTGTCTTCTGCTCCACTGTCATCGCGGCAAACACATGAGTTTCCCATATTGCTAGCTCCCAAGGCTCCCAGTAAGCAGGGAATGTGGTGCTCTAGAGTCAACAGTAAACCTTGAAAAAGGCTTCTGCTAGCATAGAACACAACCAAAGCAACTACAATCATCTAGAAAGTTTTAAGAGTAATGTTTGTGTGATCCTGAATTGTGATTTTTTTGCATTATAAGCGTTGCTACCAGCTGGAATGAATGGGAAGTTGGAGACTTAGTTTCCAATATAATTCGTTATAATACACGTTGGTCATCGAGAAGGAGGTCTGAAAAAGGAAACCCAAAACAAGAGTCAGTGTTACTACTTCTAATGAATAACAGAAGAATTCCTATTTTAGTAAACAGAATCAGTCTAAAGCACCTAGGAAACACAAAGTTTGTACCTGAAGACTATTGCAGGGAGGGGGAAAGGAAGGAAGAGGAGGAGTAGGAAGTTCACTGGGTAAGTAGCTCCCACCCACACACCATTCCTTTCTACACTACCTATTGTTTCACAGTTCTTCCATGGTTTCTGGATGCAGAGGAACAACTTTGTCCTTCCATCTAGCACACTGCTACCCTTTAAGTGGTAAGTGTTAACAGTTTCATTTGTTCTTTACCCTCTACGGGCACACTGCTCAAGCCACTCAAGTAAAGGCTGCACATTTAAGGTTCTCATTTCACATCAGGAATATTCAGTGTCATTTCCAGGCTCACTCTACAAAATATAGATTTAACAGTGAATTCTGTGTTTAACCCATCTGCACATAAACACATCTTTTTGGAATATGCCTACATCAACTGGATTCTCACCTAAAGAACCCTGAAATAAACAGGAATTACAGGCACCATTTTAATGCCTACAAATCTAAACACTCCTTTTGAAAGGGTTGTTTTTTGTGCAGGTTGTATGCTTCTTCGGACCTAGCATCAACCCCATCCCTTTTTGGGATTCAAGACTGTTTCAGTCATTCCTTTGTTCTTGATTCAAATGGTTTGGATCAAATACAGGCCCACTAGTAACTGGGACTGTAGGGCAGTCCCTTGGAATCACTGAATTGAGAATGCTAGAAAGAGCAAAAGGATCCAAAACTCTGCCTCATTACAAGTTATTTTTCAAGCCACAGGGTATATTTCTATAGAACATTATGTAAAGTCTCAGCTAAAATAAAGCCCTTCAAAAGACATCATTTCACTACTTCAAGCATGCCAGAATAATTAAGTAACTTTTAAGACTAAACTCATGCTATTCTTTTAAGAATCAAGTTTAACATTTAAGCTAGAGATTATGGTGAATATCCTGTAACAGCTTACTACTGCTTTAACAGCAGACATATAGCACCATACATTCTTCGCTGGGTAAAAAACTGCTTGGATGGCCGAGCCCAGAGAGTTGTGGTGAATGGAGTTACGTCCA